CACCCCAAGCCATTCCAGAAGGTCCCCTCTACCCTAAGCTATGTAGGTGCAGGGGGAGTATGGCAGAAAGGAAGAGAGAGGAAAACCCTGTTTAGTGAGTGGGGTTCCATTTGTGAGAAATAAGGCCCAAGCCATTGCCTTTGCTGCAGGCAATCTCTGTGCACACAAAAGAGTGGATGGCCCACCACCAAATCTCAATTTCACTGGAAGATCATCAGGGGTTTTTTGCCACATACATTTCCTGCAAATAGTCTGGGCTGATGTACGGATCCTCTCCATCTTGCCCTGAGAATCATCCTTAGACCCTACACAATAGCCATCAGTGGGATGGAGCTGCTCTTGTGGTGCTCTGAAAACGGTCAGGTCTGCTTTCCTGACACCGATACAATGTCCATTTGTTTATTTATCTTACCATTATATAGAATCATAGAGTTGGAAGAGACCACAAGGGCCATCGAGTCCAACCCCCTGCCAAGCAGGAAACACCATCAGAGCACTCCTGACATATGGTTGTCAAGCCTCTGCTTAAAGACCTCCAAAGAAGGAGACTCCACCACACTCCTTGGCAGCAAATTCCACTGTCGAACAGCTCTTACTGTCAGGAAGTTCTTCCTAATGTTTAGGTGGAATCTTCTTTCTTGTAGTTTGGATCCATTGCTCCGTGTCCGCTTCTCTGGAGCAGCAGAAAACAACCTTTCTCCCTCCTCTATGTGACATCCTTTTATATATTTGAACATGGCTATCATATCACCCCTTAACCTCCTCTTCTCCAGGCTAAACATGCCCAGCTCTCTTAGCCGTTCCTCATAAGGCATCGTTTCCAGGCCTTTGACCATTTTGGTTGCCCTCCTCTGGACACGTTCCAGTTTGTCAATGTCCTTTTTGAACTGTGGTGCCCAGAACTGGACACAGTACTCCAGGTGAGGTCTGACCAGAGCAGAATACAGTGGCACTATTACTTCCCTTGATCTAGATGCTATACTCCTATTGATGCAGCCCAGAATTGCATTGGCTTTTTAGCTGCCGCGTCACACTGTTGGCTCATGTCAAGTTTGTGGTCAACCAAGACTCCTAGATCCTTTTCACATGTACTGCTCTCAAGCCAGGTGTCCCCCATCTTGTATTTGTGCCTCTCATTTTTTTTTGCCCAAGTGCAATACTTTACATTTCTCCTGTTAAAATTCATCTTGTTTGTTTTGGCCCAGTTCTCTAATCTGTCAAGGTCGTTTTGAAGTGTGATCCTGCCCTCTGGGGTGTTAGCCACCCCTCCCAATTTGGTGTCATCTGCAAATTTGATCAGGATGCCCTTGAGTCCATCATCCATATCCTGCCTTTCTACAGTCATGGAACCCAAAGGGGCTGTGGTTCCAGGCACTGGCCATACCCAGTCATGCTTAGCTTCAGCAAAATGGTGGACCATATCTTGGGACCAATCATTTAAAGCAGGATGGGGAATCTCAGGCCTGGAGGCCAACACACATTCAGTGAGAGTCAGAGAGAGTTACAGCCTGGAGAGATGGGGGGTAGCTGGGGAATGGGGGTAGCCTGGAAGGAATCCTAAGGGTCATCTTTAAAGTCCAAGCTGCACTCACTCCCCAGCCAACCTCCATCCCTCCAGGCTGTAACTCTCCCTGACTGTGTGTTGCACTCTTCTTGGTTGTTTTTTTCCTGCCCAGATGGTGTCCTTGAGCCCTGATAATGCCTCTTGGTTGCCTGGAGAACAGAGAGGAGTGAGCAAATGTGTTTTTAAAAATCAGCTTGGGTAAAATTAACATTCACTGCTCTGCCCCCTTTGCATCTGGCCCTGGAGACCACTGGATTGTGGCCACCAGAAGGGAATGTGGCCTTCCGGTTGAAAACGGTTCCCCATCCTTGATGTGAAGGCAAAGTGCTCTGCACAAGCTTTAAAAAGCAAATGTGGCTCCCTGCCCTCTTCCTAAGCACAGGCTGATCCTCTCGCTGCAGTAACACGAGCTTCTGCTTATGTAATTTCAAGCGGAAACAGTGGTGTTGGGTCAGATGCTGTGACACAAGCTTCCAAAAACATTTGCATATATATATATTTAAAAGGTTTCTGCTAACCAGCAACACTTAGTTGGGCATGACTTCTGCCACTGATGAGTCACACAGAAATTTAGCTGGCTGATCCCTGACCCATGGGTCCCTGGAATTGTAATGCTTGGGGGGGGGGGGGTTGGTTCTTTAAAAAAAAAATGCTTTCCAAATGAATGGTTTCGAAATGAATTTGTGCTGAAAAGGGTATTTAGAATGGGGGTTGTCATTTTTTGCATTCTGCTGAAATGCTTATAACAAATGGGAAATTAGTGCAATAATGGGTTCATGGCATGATTCTCTCTCTCTCTCTCTCTCTCTCTCTCTCACACACACACACACACACACCCTGGGATAAGGAATTTAATTACATTGTATTGGAGGTGAGAACTTGGCTTTAGGGTCCTGTTTTGTTATTATCTTGGATATGGTCCCCCCCCCTAAAGTTCTCCAGCTGACACTAAGAAATCAATCAGTTGTGATGGACTGGTGGGCAGCTCACAAGACAATGGCCTGGAGACAAGAAAGGTCAAGGCTGAAATTATTTTTTGGCAGCTGATACGTTTCTTCTTTACCAAACAATATAAAAGGTAGCTTGGCAAAGCAACACGAGTCATTACTTCTGAAACGATCATGGAATATTTGCCTACATTGTAAATGCTTGCACATAATTTCTTTGTGTTGGTTTGTCAATTCCACCTTTTCTCCAAAGATCTCAGGATGGCATTCATGGCTCCTCCACTTTATCATCACAATGGCCCTGTGATGCTGACATGGGACCTGACTGGAGGACTGGACTAAGCAATGGAGGGCAGTAAACAAAATGGTGGCATTGGCACTGTGGAAGCAGCAGCAGATTGGCTGAGGAGGTGCCAGTCTGCCACCCCCTTCCGATCTGCCACCTGAGACATAGGGCTCAGCTTGGTTAATGAGATAACTGGACCCATCTCAGCTTAATCTACCTGAGTGGATTGTTTTTATGATAACGGGGGGGGGGGGGGCACAAGTATCTAGCTCTGGGCTCCTTGAAAGAAGGACAGGATAAAAATGGGCTCAAAATTGGTTCCAGTGCAGGGTAATATTAAAAATACCCTCAATATATATTTTAGCAAACTGATGCCTTGAAAGGAAAGAGCCAGCTGCCTTTTGATTACAAAAGCTTCCCTGCTTACTTGGTGGAATAACCATTCCCTACTTACTACTGGCAACCAGTAAGGAGGTGGCTGTTTCAGTCCTGTTAAAGTTAGCAGAAATGCTCCATTATTCAGTTCGATTCTATTCCACAGAGCATCTCATAAACATGGTCAATAAACACAGGGAACTATTCGGCAAGAGGTAGTTGGAAGTTGCAGCAGGTTTGTTGAAATCAGTGAGACAGAAGTGTCCAGTTAAATGCTTACGTAAGCCCCACTGACATCAATGCAACTGAAGCCTGTTTCTCACATCATAGGTCCAGATTGGTTCCTGTTTGTCTGCAGCCCATGGTAACTTAACAATATAGAAACCACACAGATAGGGGTAGCGTCATGAGAGTGAGGGAGTTTGTGGCATTGGGTGAGTGAATGTATGGGGGTGTGGAATTTGTATGCATCTTGAGTGTGTGGAAGCGTATTGGGCGAGTGCAATCATATTTTATTTTATGGATGTGGAGGTTTTATTTTATATACTATACTGTATTTAACTTTTATTGAGTTTAATTTTTGTTTGCTCTTCCTTTTAGACCTTTTCCGGTGAAAAGCATTATATAAATACTTGAAATACTACTACTACTGTTGTCGTTTAGTTGTGTCCGACGCTTTGTCACCCAATGGAGCAGAACACGCCAGGCACTCCTGTCTTCCACTGCCTCCCGCAGTTTGGTCAAATTCATGCTGGTAGCTTCGAGAACACTGTCCAACCATCTCGTCCTCTGTCGTCCCCTTCTCCTTGTGCCCTCCATCTTTCCCAACATCAGGGTCTTTTCCAGGGAGTCTTCTCTTCTCATGAGGTGGCCAAAGTACTGGAGCCTCAGCTTCAGGATCTGTCCTTCCAGTGAGCACTCAGGGCTGATTTCCATAAGAATGGATAGGTAATAATAGTTAATTGGAGCTTGCAAAATTGAGACCACTGTTTCATATTATGACTATTATGTGAAGTATTTCTTGAACATGTCCTACAGCACTAGATGGCAGTATTAGCTAACTAAAACAGATACTTTCCCTTAGAGTTTATTGTCAAAAATGGAACCTTATCATAATTTACTGTCTTTCAACCATTATTTAACAAGAAGACAGAAACAAGGAATTCGTTGAATCACTTTGCTCTGAAGTCTGGGAACGTTACCGACCACATCCTGAGAATTCAGCCTTGATCGAACTGCCTCATTAACTTTAGCAAGATGTCTGAAAACTGAGCATTTGGGATGGGGTGGGGAAAACATTCCTTTCTCTGTAAGTTTAAACTGAATGCAACATGAGATATTAGATGCTTTATGAAGTTGTAGTGGAATGGGGACAGTATAGGATAAGTTATAGACAGGTACTTGCCATGTGCATTGATTACTTACGTACAAGTAATACATCAAAATAAAAAGCACTTGCTGCTATCAATAATAAGGTGTTTCTCATTCACTCCGTCGGTGAATAATGAAGCCAAAATGGATGCAACAACAACAACAACACACTTGGAGTTTGTTTTTTAACAAGTAGATCAAGCTGCCAAAAACCCCCAAAAGTCTAGCTTTCCCCCTGTCGATAGCACTCTTGCCAACAAGATGTTTGCAGCTGAGTAAAGATAATGGATGCCACTACCTCATTTTGCCTGGTACTGTTCCTGTGCCTTTTTAGATGCAGTCTAAACTTTGCAGGAGAAGCTTGCCCAGAGTGGAGAGAAGACATGAGAAAAGGCTGGATTTCTATGTGCCTGGTCAGGAAAGGGGAACCAGGTAGCAACCCCGATAATGGGGTAGGGCTGTAGCTCAGGGGTAGAGGATCTGCTTTGCATGCAGAAGGTTCCAGGTTCAGTCCCCAGCATCTGCAGGCAAGATTGGGAGAGGCTCTGTGTCTGAAACACTGGAAAGTCATTGCCAGTCAACATTACTGGACGAGACAGACCAATGGTCTGACCTGGTATTCTATTTATTCTAAAATACTCCTAGACTGCTTTAATATCTTTAAGTTCCAAAGTGGTATACAAAGAAGCAAAAACAGACCATGAATAATATAACCAGTTTAATAATAATATAATACACAGTTCCAGACTTTCTGCCGTGACCAATAATCTACCTGTCCTATATCATTACTTTGATAATGCATGAGTAAATAAAAAGGTCTTTAGCATATGCTGGAAACATGAAATCATCCAAGGAGAATGTTTTGCATGGCCTCTTCAGATGATCTCACTGTCTAGGCAACTCTTTATGGGAGAAGGTCTGTCTCTCAGGTGTCTCTCAGGCCTCCCATTCTCAGGTGTAGACAATGGTAAATTTCCTTTATGTCTTGCTTGACTCAGGCTATGAGAACAGGTAGTTTAAGATCTGTGAGTTTGCTGGTTGATGATAAGGGTTCTCACAGCTTCCATCTCCAGATATCCCACCACATGGCTGGCCTGGAACAGGCTTAATCTATCAGGTAGAAAGAGCTGAAGATTTGCTCACCCCCTGCCAGGTAGATCCTATCCATACCTTTCTTCCAGAGACTACCTGAAAAGGAAGTGGAATTGGTGGGAATATTAGGATCAGACATGGTCTACTGGGAGGTTATTTCCAGGGCAAGGGCAGAGGTGCAGAATTTATTTAGACTGCATGGACTTGGAATGAGCTTGCCTCCAGTGGACCTACCATACTAGCAGCCCATTTTCTGATACCCCTTTGTCCATAATAACTTCTTCCCAGTTTTACTGTAAAATGTTGAACTTTGACATTTGAAGATAGAATCCTCATGCTGTTCCAGGTAACATATTAAAAATGAAGCTTTAGAAGCATCCAAAAGCACAGTGGAAGTATATGGACTTGTCAATCGATATCTATTCCTGCCATGGTCATTGTTGTTCATCTCACCATCACCACCACCTCAGCTTAAATGATCAAGGAACAGCATCTTCCCTTTTCGTTTTCGTTTTCTTTCCATTTCTTTCACTTTATTTGTCCACTAAAAATTTTCAATAAAATATAAATATTAAGAAATCTTCCCAACAGCCCATTTCCTTCTTTAGATTATTTACTAATAATCACTATGATGAGTAGTCAGATCTAACCATAGTGATGTCTGCCTTGGTTATGCACCTTTGAAGATGGTTTGAAAATTGTGCTGGTACAGAATGCGGTACCTCAAACACATTTGTGAGTTTTGCACTCATTCTACCAATCTTCACCAACCTGGTGCCTTCCTGATGTTTTGGACTACAATTCCCACCAGCGCCAGTCATCGGAAGGGTACCATGATGGTGAACGCTGTATTCTACCTATTCTGTATTGGTTATTTTGGCTGTCTAGTCATTGACTTGCAACTATTGATTGGCTGAAAGTTGAAGGTGCTGGTTTTTTACTTTTGCCCTGAACAGTTTGGGACCAGGTTATACAAAGGACCACCTATTTGAGTCTTTCTCAGTGATGGCCCCACACATTTGAACTCCCTTTATAGGGAAATATGTACAGTATGGTCTGATCAGTGCTGATCTATCTCTCTCTCTCTCTGTGTGTGTGTACAGTGTTTTTTTCTTTAAAAAAATGTACTCTTATTTTGACTCAAGAAAATCACAATTTTCAAATAGTTCAAATCAGGAAAAATAAATACAGTAAATAGACAAAAGTACAAAGATTCACAAAATGTTTCAGGGTATGCGTACCTCTGTGCTCCCCCAGAAAAAAGCACTGTATATATAGCATATATATATACTTTTTTATTCCTCTGTTTTGCTAAATTGGGCTGTACTTAAAGAATAAGTAAATTAGCTGTCATGCTGACATGAATGACTGCATTTTTAATATGATGTGCTTTAGAGACTTGTAAGTACAGTGGCACCTCAGTTTAAGAAACTCTGGAAAACCAGAAATAGTGTCTTGGTTTAAGAACTTTACCTCCGTCTACGAACGGAAGCCGAATGGTGGAAGGGCATCGGCAGCGAGAGGCCTCATTAGGGAAAGCGCGCCTCAGTTTAAGAACTGATTTGGTTTAAGAATGGACTTCAGGAACGGATTAAGTTCGTAAACCAAGGTACCACTGTATTAGGACATTGCACCCTGAAAAGCGAGTTGCACATCTTTTAAACAAATAAATAAAGGTATAGACTCTGCTGGGATCTTCGGGCAGTAATCCATGCTGATCTGTAGAGTGTTTATGTAACTGTGACCAAGGGAGGTAGGGCACATTTTGTTCCTAAGGATGGTTTCTCCCTCACACACCGAATTATTATTAATAGTACATATTTTATACTCCATCTTTTTCCTGGACACAGCAGCTGTTTCTACACTATCAGAGATTATGTTGGACACCCAAAGAACTGCAGGGATATGGGTGTGCTGCGATCATGGGCTGCTATACTTATTCATTGGGGAGCAGAAAGGCAATTCGAAGCAATTTTGCTCAGCAAACTCATAGTATAATACCAGAAGAAGACAGGAGACCATTAGTTACTGTCTCAAACCCTTAGGGGCATCTCGGAGAATTTTCTTCCTTTCTTTTTCTTTTTCTTGTCTGACTGAACTAATAACATTTGGAAAGGCAAAAAGGAAGGTCAGCTCCTGCCCTCAGCTGCAATATAAAATGCTCCTTATCAGTGAAAAATGGCCAAGCAAATACCTCTGGCTATTAACTTCTCAGGGTTGCATTATGTCTTGCTACCACTAATGATCTCTCCTCTTCAACTTAAATCTTTAATGTTTTTTTTATATATAAAAAACCCCTCTGTCTTAACTTCAGTTGCATTGGAGACTACCATGGATGCTACATTTTTAATCAGTTATTCTCCCTATGAGTAAAAGACCCGCCTGTCAGAGTATAAATTATAGCTCAGGAGAAGTCCAGGACATAATTAATGCCTTCTTATGAGAGAGGGAAGAGTTCCAGCCCCTCTGAAAGAGGCAGTTGTTCAGAAAGATTTTTTGGATCATAATTATTGGCCAGTCACAAATCTGTCCTCCTTGGTATTTGAGGCAGCACTAGCCATGGTACAACTCTAGGTGATTTTGGATGACATGATTTGTCTGGACCCATTCCAATCCAGTTTCAGGCTTGGTTTTGGCACCGAAATAGTCTTGATCATCCTGAAGGAGAGAGAGTTGGTTCTATTAGACCTCTTGGTGGCATTTGATGCCATTGATCATAGTACCTTTCTGGACTTATCTGGGACCATGAACATTGGCCCTGATAATGGGAAATCGTTCTCAGTTTCACCTCAGCGCCCAAGATCCAGCGCTGGCTACATGTTTTCAGATCTATGCCTCCTCATTGCAACAAGGGCAGACCACCTTATTTATTTTTCATATTCTTACATGTATACCCCACCTTTCTCCTCTCATGGAAAAAAGGCAACATGTATGTGGTATATTGTAAATCGCCCTGAGACCTGTGGGTATAGGACAGTATCCAAATTAATAATAATAATAATAATAATAATAATGTACCCTGGTGGTTACCAATCCAGGCATTTACTATAGACCTCCTTAGTTTCATCAAGGTGGTGGACCCTTGTGCCTTCTGACATATCCTGGGACTTTGATGGTTTTCTTTTTCTTTTTTTTTAAATTAAAGATTTTCTTGTTTTACAGAAGTATGTGTAATGTCTCTCGTATTTTTTCCATGTAACATTTTTACAAATCAGTTTCATTTGTTGAGACATTAGGGGAAAATAAGGGGTGGAGGGGGGGAAGATGGGTGGGGGTGGGGTCGGGTGGTGATGTTTCTATTTTGCTTAATGTATGTAGGGTTTGGTGTCAGCGTTGCTCGTGCAGGTTCTCTGCTGTTCACTTGTGTTCCTTTGGTGGTGAGAGAGGTTGGAGTTGGCCTAGGGTGTGGTTGTTTGTTTGTGATTGGCTGTGGTGATCTTTGTTTTCGTGTTTGAGTGGGGTGGGTGGGTGTTTTGGATCAGGTTAGCCATATTGATTTGTATGCTGTTGGTGGATTATTGTCATTGTCTTGTTGGGCTGTGATATGATAAAGGGGAGCCTTCTTCTGTTTGTCCCCGTGTCAGTTTCAGTTTATTGGTTAATTTTTCTAGTAGGGCTGTTTCCCACACTATTTGGTGCCATTGGTCCATGCTTACTCCTGACAGGTCTCTCCAGTGTCTGGATATGGTGTTTCTGGCTGCTGAAAGTTGATGGTTTTCTTTTAACCTTTTCCTCTCTGTCCGCTTTTCTTATTTTCTTTTTATCTGCTCTTATAAAGCAGTTGGCACAATGTTGTTGCTGTATACCATCAGGTGTGCTGGTTGACTATTTGCAGCTGGGGAGAGAGGAGTGGCTGGAGATGGACTACACCAGGGGTCAGCAAACTTTTTCAGCAGGGGGCCGGTCCACTGTCCCTCAGACCTTGTGTGGGGCCAGACTATATTTTGAGGGGGGGGAATGAATGAAGTCCTATGCCCCACAAATAACCCAGAGATGCATTTTAAATAAAAGCACACATTCTACTCATGTAAAAACACACTGATTCCCAGGCCATCCATGGGCCGGATTTAGAAAGCGATTGGGCTGGATCCACTGAGTTTTGGACTACACTGAGTTTTATCTTGAGAGTGGAACAGCTTCTGGTAAAAGTTTATAACAGCTCTCCCTTCTGTGGGTGAGTCATGTGGGGTTGTGGGGATGTGGGTGGCACTGTGGTCTAAACCACTGAGCCTCTTGGGCTTGCCAATCAGAAGGTTGGCAGTTCCCAGTTCCTGCCAATGTAGCAGTCCGAAAGCACACCAGTGCAAGTAGATAAATAGGTACCACTGCGGCGGAAAGATAAACAGTGTTTCCTTGTGCTCTGGAACTCTTTGTGGTGTCCCGTTGCACCAGGAGCGGTTTAGTCATGCTGGCCACATGACCTGGAAAGCTGTC